ATATATATATATATATATATATATATACACATACATATATATATATAATTTTAAAACCTTTGGATTGGTTATAGTATTAAAGTAAATGTTGATATACCAATTAGGTCTCTGCCTAAGAGAAAAACCTCATTTAATAAAACATATTTTTATGAAAATTTATATTATGTTATGGGGCCAAACATGTTTTATATATATAAAACAATTAAAATCATTTTCACAGATAATAAAACTTACCCCAACAGAAACTTAATCATAAGTACAAAAGGATCAACTTTATATGGCTTGGCTTGTTTATCCAACATAGTAGCATATTCTAAGCAATGACCTGGTGATTAAAAAAAAAAAATTATATGTAGTAAAGAATTCATAGTGATTAAGTATAGACTTATCATACACTGACTGCATTACCTGTAAGAGCAATATATTTCTTGTTACAAAGCAAGGGTCATTACTATCAAAGACCCTATCTTCAAAAGATTAAAAATCACTGTAATTCAACAGATCTCATACAAGAGGACACAATCACTTGTGAAACAGCTTCAGGAAGCCAAAGCTGGGGTTTTGCCATTTGTATTTTCACAAAGCTCCAAAGGTGATTTAAAAAAAACAACAACTCTATAGAGATGTGATTCTTATACTACACAATTCATTCAAAATATATGCAATCCAGTGGTTTTAAGCATTCACAGATATGCCTTCCTCACCACAATCAGTCTTAGAATATTTTCATTACTCCCAAAACAAACTTTGTTCCCTTAACTGTCACCTCCAATGTCTCCTTATTCCCAGGCAACAACTAATATCTTTTCTGTCTTTATAGACTGGCCTATTCTGAACATTTCATATAAATGAAACCATGTAATATGTGGTCCTTTATGATGGGATTTCACTTGGCATGTTTCCAAGATTCATCCATGTTGTAGCACCTATCAGCACATTTTACTTATCCATTTATCAGCTGATAGATATTTGGGTTGTTTCCACTTTTTGGATATTATTAACAGTGCTCCTGTGAACATGTATGTACAAGTTTAGTATGGGTGTATGTTTACATTTTTCGTGTAACTAGGAGTACAGTTCCTGAGTCATACTGTAACTGCCAGACTAGTCTCCAAAACACCTATACCATTTTATATTCCCGACAACAGTGCATGAAGGTTAAAATGAATACTAAAAGTAGACTTGAAATTGTAAGTTATTGAAAGGGAATGAGTAGCTGGAGAAGGATTTGGCAAGATGGAAACGGTAAAGGTTATTTCTGGACAGCTTTTACGTATTTTGGTCCTACTCTCTTCCTACCTCTTACTATCCGAGCCCAACAAGTGTGTGAGGGCCTTACAAAGTAGGCTCCTGGGAAACTATTCTAATTGCAATAGACTAGGGAAGGTTTTGTGCAATGTAGTGTCTATTCTGTATTTGCCTCTCCAGATCCATTCCATCGCCACCCTTTACTTTGCTCTGAATTCTGGGAGGCTGACTTCGGTTCAGTGAATGATAGGCACTGGAAGATAAGAGGAAATAAGGTTAGTGTATTTACTTCCCCATCTTTCTCCCTGCTGACAGTGGCTGGAGCTGCAGTAATGCTGCCCTCTCGTATAGCTCTCTCTAGGCTTGCTCCCTCTCTTGCCCTAGTCCTGAGGAGTATCAGATGGATCTGTTGCTAATCTGGCATTTTATCATTTCTTGTTGGTTTCCCTTAACCCATCACATACCTTTCAAATAGTCCCTTTATTAAGATTAACTCTCAATTATTCCATTCAGTGTGCCAGAACCTGATACAGCTGATAACAGCCCAAATAATATGCTGAATGCCTACTATGTGCTTGACACTATGTTAGGCACCAGGAATGGAATGAAGAACAAAATCCCCATCAGTGAGACTCCACCTGTTAAGGCATCCTCAGAAGAGAGGGAAAAACTTCAGACACAAAAGTATCTTTTCCTTACTGGAAAAGCCCAGTAAGGAATCTTCTTGAGTATTTCCTAAAACTAGAGGATCTCAAACCCTTGTAAACTTCAGAGATAGGTCATAAATTTTCAAGAAATTGAGGTATTCCTTAACCACATGGCAGATAAATAAGTAGAAATGAAGCACTAAAGAAGAAAGGGAGAAAGAGAGGAGGAATAGAAACACTCTCACCTGTTGAGAAAAGAGAGTACAACTGTCCTCCATAAGCAAGAAGGATACTAGATGTAACATAAGCAGGAAGAGCTCCACCATGAAATCTAACTACCTAGAAAACAGGCAAATCAAAAGGCAACTTTTGAATATTTGTGTTAATGAAATAAATGTACTTTCACATGAAATAAAAATGTCTTTCTTCATTTTATCTTTCCTGACGTTGCCACAGCGGTATACTTTCAGTAATGGATACCAAAACTCTAAGTAAAATAAATGTGAAGAATATACAGCATGCTAGAAACATGTTATCAGATTTTTTCATAAAGGTGTAACAAAAAATATATATAATTAAGCAGCATATGTATGTTACAAAGTTTTCTTACAAGGTACATTTGGTGAGCATGTATTTCATATGTTTCAGGTTTGATACTAAACATTTTATATGCATTATCTCATGTTCTCCTCCTAAAAATCCTTTGAGGTAATTCTTATCCCTGTTTTACAAATGAAGAAATTCAGGCACAGGGAGCCCAAGTAACTTGCACAATTAAAAACATAAAAGACAAGCAAATTACTTGTTAACTCAATGTTCTCATCAGTAAAATGGAAGCAACAGCAGTACTTACCTTATAGGTGTTTTCAGGTTTAAAGATGTTCATTTGCGTAAAGCATTTAGAATATTAACTTAAACATGAAAAGCTATCAAAAAATATTAGCTATTACAGGCATACCTCACTTTATTGTTTTGCTTCATTGTACTTTGCAGATAATTGTGTTTGTGTTTTGTTTTTTTTCTTACAAATTGGAGGTTTGTGGCAACTGACACTGAGGAAGTTTACTGGTACCATTTTTGCAACAGAATTTGCTCACTTGGTGTCTGTCACTTTTGATAATTCTCACAATATCTCAAACTTTTTCATTATTATTCATTATTTCATTATTATTTCATTATTATTCAATATTTCATTATTATTTCATTATTATTTCATTATATTATTATTTCATTATAATGATCTATGATGATTAATGACGACTCATGGAAAGCTCAAATAATGGTTAACATTTTTTAGCAGCAATAAAGATTTTTTTTTAAATTTTTTTTCAATGTTTTTTATTTATTTTTGGGACAGAGAGAGACAGAGCATGAACAGGGGAGGGGCAGAGAGAGAGGGAGACACAGAATTGGAAACAGGCTCCAGGCTCCAGGCTCCGAGCCATCAGCCCAGAGCCTGACGCGGGGCTCGAACTCACGGACCGCGAGATCGTGACCTGGCTGAAGTCGGACGCCCCACCGACTGCGCCACCCAGGCGCCCCAGCAATAAAGATTTAAAAATTAAGGTATGCATAGTTTTTTTTAGACATAATACCATTACACACTTAATGGACTGCAGTATAGTGTAAACATAACTTTTGTATGTACTTTTGTGTCATTTGACTTGCTTTATTATAATATTTGCATTATTGTGGTGGAACTGAACTCACAACTCCAAGTATAAGCCTGTTAATATTTCTTAAATAGGGAGCTGTTTAAGGGGGGAAGGGAGGGATGAGCTGTTTTTATGTAAATGGAACTAAAGTCAAAAATTATTCATAGATAAATGACTATGAAAATCTAATTTATTTGGTCTTTCTCAATTTAGAGAGTGTTCCATCTATGTACTGCGCTCAATGTGCTTGGCACTGGGAATATAAGGGTGAGCACTAAGGAGTTTACAATGTAGTGACTTTGCTGTAATCTCATTAACAATTTAACACTTCAGTATCATTAGGTGCTTTAACTTCAAAGTTCTGGAGTTTTAAGGACAGATGAGGCAATGGAATTCCAGGGTATTCATTTACTCACTTAGCCACTGACATTTAAACAAATTCAAGTCTCACCCTCAGAACAGTGACAACATCTTCCCTTCACTCTACTCCCCTTCTCTCTCTAGTTACTGCCTTTTTCTTCCCTCTCGTTGCTAAACTTCTCAAGAGCTTGATGTACTATCTCTCCTCTTTATCTACCCCTAATCTTTTGCTTGCATCTACCAAAATAACACTAATGCTCCATGGACCCTTTTTCTGAGGTATGCCTGTATAAGGCTTTTAGGTCCTTTAGTGTCTTTGGAAATTGTGTGGAATGGGATTTAACTCAGAGACTAAATTCATAACCATTATGTTAGTGCCTCAAGACATTCTATCAGCTAATCTAATTTCTATAAAAATATATAAATACAACAAAAAGAAAGTGTTAAATTCTTTTAATGTTAAAGTTTTATTTTTCAGCATAAAAAAGATTTATTCTTCTCTGTAAGCACCTTTTAATGTTGAAGTTTTAAAAGAAAGTTACCTTAAAGCATGTTTTCCAACCACTGTATTAAAAAAAAATGTATAGACTCTCCTGGCAATCTGATGAAAGCCATGGAAATGCATGTTTACACAAAATGGCATGTAAAATTTCAAGAAGCTCAAGGTCTCCCTGAATCTCCTTCATGGATTTCCAGGTTAAGATTAGAAAGACTCAAAAAGAAAACCCCACTTACTGCCTATACTCATAATTTACAATTATAGCTTTGAGTGGAAGGAGAAGAGTTGAGCAAAGGGGAAAAGGTCATTTTTCTATTACTAAGTGATACTCAATGCCTGCTAATGACATGCTAGGAAATATATAGCATTCTTTAATTATCAATAGCATAGAAGGAAAGTTAAGCAGCATTCAGCCTTAGAGTCAGACTCCTGGGTTTAGACTACAGCTCTGCCTCTCACTAGCGCTGCGTCCTTGGGCAAGTTACTTTACCCCTCTTTTTCTCTGTCTTTGTAAAATGGAGATAAACAGCACTTATCTCACAGGGAGTTTGAGGCTTAAATGTGTTCCTCTGTATAAAGTATTTGGAATAGTAACTGGCACACATAGGTGGATCAGAAAATATTAGCTGTTATTATTAACCTTTAATGCTCTTCACTATCTTTGGAAATCTAAGACTTCTTATATAGTATTCTGAATATAACAGTTCTTTGTAGTGACTGTCATTGTTGAGTATTAAGTATTATACTGGGCCACAGATATAGCTCATATAAAATATAATCCAACAATCTTAAATTGGCTTTCATGGATCATATTTAAATTGTAGACATGGTTCATTTGGTTTAGTATTTGGCACAGTATTTCTTTACATTTCAAATTAGAGGCCCACATTAAACAATTTTTTAAAAAGGGGAACCCTGGGTGGCTCAGTCAGTTAAGCATCTGACTTCCGCTAGGTCATGATCTCTCTGTTTGTGAGTTCAAGCCCCATGTTGGGCTCTGTGCTGACAGCTCAGAGTTTGAAGTCTCCTTTGGATTCTGTGTCTCCCTCTCTCTCTCTGTTCCTCCCCCACTTGCACTCTGTCTCTGTCTCTCTCAAAAATAAATAAAGATTATGGGGCACCTGGGTGGCTCAGTCAGTTAAGAGTCCGACTTCAGCCCGGGTCATGATCTCACGGTCCGTGAGCTCAAGCCCCGTGTCAGATTCTGTGCTGACAGCTCAGAGCCTGGAGCCTGCTTCAGATTCTATGTCTCCCACTCTCTCTGCCCCTCCCCTGCTCATGCTCTCTTTCAGTCTCAAAAAATGAATAAATGTTAAAAAATAAATAAATAAAGATTAAAAAAATAAAAAAAATTTTTAATCTAAAAATCCAGACTTCCAGCTTCTCTTAAGACCTAAAGATTTGGCAACATTAGACTTTATTCCTACACCAAAATGATTTACTAATTTATATAATTCTGTTGAGAAAGTAACTTCTGGTTTATTTTTTGTCCTCTCTTTCATTAGAGTAGACTAAAGAGTATGTAAATAATGTTCTCTTTCCTTTTTCTGGAAAAAAAATTAGTTTTACAGAAAACTGTCTAATCAGAAGCTAAAAATTCTCTCAAGCAAGCTTTCTCTTTATTCTTCTTCTCAGTCTTCTTTGAATCAGCAACACTGAAAATATGTATGAATGATATATACAACTTCAATTATTCTCCTGTTCTCAAGCTAAATTTTTTTTTTTAATTTTTTTTTCAACGTTTTTAATTTATTTTTGGGACAGAGAGAGACAGAGCATGAACGGGGGAGGGGCAGAGAGAGAGAGGGAGACACAGAATCGGAAACAGGCTCCAGGCTCTGAGCCATCAGCCCAGAGCCCGACGCGGGGCTCGAACTCACGGACCGCGAGATTGTGACCTGGCTGAAGTCGGACGCTTAACCGACTGCGCCACCCAGGCGCCCCACAAGCTAAATTTTTAAACATACATGAAGAAAGAGCATCTGGTATCTTTCCAGTAATCTGAGAACTTAATTACCACAAATTCTTTGACATTTAAAAAAAGTATCCACCATTGATTCTGTAACACCTACATATTTTTTAGATAAATTTCCATGCCTAAGCAAGAATACTAGCATATCCTTCTTTGGTGGACAGATAATTATGCTTTGCTATCAAGTATCAAGCTAACTTGATTTTTTTGGTCACTAATCTGAATTATGAGCCACGGGGATGACATGGGTAAGAGAGTATGTTGTATCCTCAGCCTATATCACTGTATACACTAACATGCCTTCTGGACATACTAAATATACAACAGCATCAATTCTTCCCCTATATTCCAAGGCATAATTTTTCTTAATAAAGGTCCCTTAACAATCTAGACTATTTCTTAGAACTATCATCCATGATGCTATTTTCCAATTTATACCAACATTTAATCTTCTCTTCCTAATGTAGCACATTTGACACATTAACTTAAAATTTCCAATGATCACAAATTTAAAAATAATTACAATCTAGCTCTCACCAGGTTGCTGTGAGAATCAGATGAGATAATCCATGTAAAAAAATTTTGAATTTAATTTTGGTTTGTAAATTTTATAAATATAGAATGAGTTAATAAGTCTTAAAAATTCTGCTCTGCCCGAATTACAAAACACAACAGACCAAAAAATAAAGTAAAATTAATAGAAGGCACAAAAAAATTTTAGTCAATTTTAAAACCACTATATAATTTTTCTGACTAATCAATATTATTATTTATGTTACACATAAATATAACAGGTTATACAATTCTGCAAATTATAATGATGCTGAATAATTTAGTAGCTCTGTTACTTGATAAGTTATTTTTGTAACACTATTTGCTTATGAATTATACTCACCAAAAGAATTTAAAATATTTCAACATGTTTTTATTTATTTATTTATTAAAGTTTATTTATTTTGAGAGAGTGAGCACATGTGTGAGTCGGGGAGGAGCACAGAATGAGGGAGAGAATCCCAAGCAGGCTGTGCACTGTCAGTGCAGAGCCTGACATGAAGTTCGCTCTCACAAACCAGGAGATCAAGACTTGAGCTGAAATCAAGAGCTGTGCACAACCCGACTGAGCCACCCAGGCACTCCAACATATTTATTTTTAATATAATTTACTTTTTATTTTTTACAAACTAAGCACACACAACATAAAAAGTCATTTGAAAATGTTTGTTTATATGAGAGTCTAAAATTTTATTGGATTATGACTTATAGCACAGTATGAGCAATATAAAATCTTTATAAGACATTCATTTAGCCAAAAATATTAGTTTGTTAGCAAATCAAGAATCAGCTCTCAATTCTTAGGAATGAAACCATCACCTTAAAGCCAGGGGTGGCCAACTATGACCTATCTGTGAAGAATGGTTTTTGGATTTTATTAAAGCAGGAGAGAGAAGGAAATGGAAAAAGATGGGGGGGGGGGGGGAAGCAACTGTAGCAGTAGCAGCAGCAAGAGACCATATTTGGTATGTTAAAATATTTCATTATCTGGCCCTTTTATAGAAAAAGTTTGTAACCTATGCCTTATAGTATCTATTTACAAGGCAATCAATAATCAACCAGGAATCTCTTACCTGTCCAAGAATTTGTGAAAAGGAAGTCTTAACTGTCACCTAGTTTAAAATAATCATAAAAAAAGAGGTTATTTCTCCTAAACTCTTCTAGTTCACATTTTATTAAATTGAACACTTCTGCACATCTCTAAACACAATCGTTAATTTTTTTATAATAACCAACCTAAAGGCACTTACAGTCTTAAAAGGATCCTCTGAACCAGAAATTTTAACTTGCAATAAGTATAGTTTTATTATTCAATATATTTTCCTTCTAATTCTTTGATAATTGGATGAATGCTATGGTACATGTGATAGGTAACCCTTTACTAACTAGAATTTTTGATTAACCAGAATCTTAGTATTGGGTCATATAATCTAAAGGAATTTACTGATTGAGTCCAGAAGCTATACATATGTCTGAACAATTAAGCACAAATTAACCTACTACATAACTGATATTTTAAAAACCTCAAACCTACAACTGTACAGCACTAAGTATAGTTAAGCTAAGCCAATTCTGATTAAATTTCATAAAAACAAGTTTCACATGATATAAGACGAGGAACAAATGGAGTGTATTTGGTAAAATTTAAGCCAAAACATTGTATTAAAAAAATTCACCATTAATTATCTCTATTATAAATATACCCTTTTTGATATTAGCAAGTCTGGGAAAAGGAAATATGTATTTCATAAGGAAATTATAAAATGGCTATTTATAATACTGACTTTTTAAAAATGTAAAGTAGTTAAAAAATATTGACATTTTCAGAGTGTGCAGTACATGGAGCCAAATTATTATGCAATTCTCACTATCACTATTAGAACTATGAAGACATGTTAAAAACCATTACAGCCCTACAAAATCCTTCAATGTTAGAAACAATGAAGATATCAAACCAGTAATAAATTCCATGAAATCTAAAATAACTCATAATTTAGGTTCAACTGAAACTTGTTGCTACGAACAGATTCTATTCATGTAACCTACCAATTCTAGTTTACCCCAAGAAAGTCAATTCTAATGAAGAATCCAAATAAGGTTGATTGAAAGGAATTGCATGGAAAGAAGTTATTTCACATAAACCGGAAACCACCATTAAATGTATATATACTTCAATCCCTTAAACCTGGAATCCTTAGAACCTGGCATATTTGGATACATAGGGACTCTTGTAGTTCATGAGTCCATAAGGGTAAATGTTGCTCAAGTCTATTTCCCTTCTCTTATAGCAGAGATCTGTTGGTTGTTAAAACAAACACAATAGGCACTACATTGCACATTAATGACTAACAGATTTAAAAAGCTAATGAAAAGGAAAGAAGATTCTTAAGCCTATCCAATAGAGCTGGAAACCAATACACATCATGTCAATTATTGCAGAAAAGCCGTGTCAGCTGATTTCATGATATTCTTCAATTTACAGAGGATTTTGGACCTTGGGTTTCTAAATTTAGAAGGTTAGTCTACAGTCTCAATTTTTTGCTTATTTTCTACTATTTATTAAGATGTATATTTTTAATAGTCCACCTAGGAAAATACTAGGGTGGTGCTAACAGGCAAAATGCAGAATATTTAAAGCATCATAAATGTCTATTTTGTGTATTTATTGGCTTCCACATTGCCATATATCTGAGACTAATATAAAAATATATTTCCTATTTATTCTATAACTAAATCTTAAAAAGTAAGCAAACATACAACTTACTTCATACTCACAGTCTGAAGATGTGTACATTTTTAATAATGCTACCTGGCTCTCATTGTCTGGTTGTGCAATATGGAGTTTCAGAGAAATTTCTGTGGAAGATGGTACCCTGAAAAGATAATTGAAGTATCATTTCTCAAATACAAAATACTGTTAAATAACCATGACTAAGTCAATCCTTGCAGAACACAATGACAGAATGGAGAGAAGACACATGTCAGACATGTTATTAAAAATGGGACACTTTTCCAATCCTATCACAGTCGTTTGCTCATTCAACTAGGAGAGAAGTTGGAGGATGGTCTAGGAAGGGGTTGATGTTCCAAGCAAGTAAGGTTTAAATTCTAGATCATTTAGGTAAGAATACTACGTTATCTTATGAGCACAATGCTACATAAAGGATAGTTACATTTTATTAAGAGGCACTTAGTTTCATTAAAATTTCACTATGATTTAAATAAAATAAACAGAATATGTATTATTCAAAAACACCAAAGTTTAAGATAAATTCTTTAATATACTTACTGTGCAATAGTTAGTGAATCCTCATAAGACCAAGGAATATGAAGTTTATAGATACTAGTTATTTCTTCTGTGAAAACATAAAGGAAATACATGTTACTAACCTTATGTTACATTAAATGTTACATAAACTACTATAATACCTAACTAACTAGTTACCCATTTCATAAAAAATAACCAGTAAGAATTATATCACATAAGAAATTATGGAAAATTATTAACTAATAATGTTTAATTAGACTTACAAAAGATATTAAAGCATATGGGAAATACTAAGAAACTGAAAAAAAGCTAAACCTGAATTACTATAGTGAGACAGAAAGATATACAGTATTTTTAAAAAATGTGGATATTTAAAATGATACAGTTGAAGATGCTTAGTGTTAACAAAGGGTCTGTGTTAAATCTGTTGGAAACATAAACAGTTTTTCTACTATCATTTAATTTTAATTCACATAAATACACAAAATAATAAGCACTACAGAAAATTCAAGTAAAGACCTACTGATTCTTCAAATGACAATACTATTCTTCTCAGAAAATACACTTACCTTTTACTCCTGAGCACTTGCTCACTACGTTGATTGTAAAAGCTTGGTATATCTAATAAGCGTATGACCACAAAAACAAAAAAGTAAAAGTTTATTTGTTTGCTTAATTACATAGTAAAGTAAAATCAAATCCTTGTTATAATCAGGATAATTACCTGTCCAAAGTTTAGAAGTTCTATATTATAAAACAGGCCACTTGTATTTAATAACACTTTCCTTGAAGAGAGTCCTGTTGAATTGAAAGCATTGTATTACTTAGAACACCAAAAAAATTTTTTAAAAAGTACTGATTGCTTAATAATGCTAGCACATTTTTAATCTTAAAAAAGAGTTTAAAGATTTTCATTTCTGGTATGGAGGAGTGAACTAAAAATCCTATCCTCCTTCAATAAACTCTAGATAACATTTATAATGTATGTATTTTAAAAAGTCAAGTATAAACTTCTAATTTCAAAAAGGTATGCTTTCTTGGTAGATCTCTTAGAAGTTTGTTATCTTTAATGAGATGAGTGATTCAGAGCTTCCTTTTTACCAAAAATAAATAAACAAACAAATAAATAAGGTGGGTGAGGGATAAAAATCTAAAGGAAAAGGAAGTTTCCTCTCTCAAGTAACAGATTCTTTAAACAAATGGAATACTAAAAAAATATATTTTAAGAATGGGTCATGCCAAAAGGGTAAGGAGCCAATCTAAAATGAGCTCTTAATATCCAATACTGGAACAACTTAAAAAAAAAATGTAATGATAGTATTAAATTATAATCCAATGAGCCTGGGTGGCTCAGTCGGTTAAGCAGCCGACTTCAGGTCATGACCTTGTGGTTCACGATTTCTAGTGCCATGTCTGAGGCCTGTTTTGGATTCTGTGTTTCCCTCTCTCTCTCTGCCCTTCCCCCGCTTGTGCTCTTTCTCTCAAAAATAAACAAAAACATTTAAATATAATAGAATGAATAAAGTAAATATCCATGAGTCATACTGACATAAATAAAAACTGAGTAAGTAAATAGAGAAGGGACAACTTTACTTTCACAAAAATTATAATACAGAATACCAGTAATAATTGCCTCAGACTAGAAGAACCAGGGGTGCCTGATGGCTCAGTTGGTTAAGCATCTGACTTCGGGTCAGGTCATGATCTCGTGGTTCCTGAGTTTGAGCCCCACATGGGACTCTCTGCTGACAATGCGGAGCCTGCTTGGGATTCTCCCTCTCCCTCTGTTTCTGCCCTTCTCTCTCTCTCTCTCTCTCTCAAAATAAATAAACTTAAAAAAAAAAAAGGATGCTAAAATTAGTGGGTTATTTTGAAGATAAACAGGGTACTTAAATATTCTCAAAGTAGTCCCCCCAAGATATTTATTAAGTACAAAAAGGAAACGAGTAAATTTACAGTGGAGAAACCTGGCAGACACTACCTTAACCAAGTAATCAAGGTTAACGTTGCTAGTTATGTGTGCAATGATATGATACACTGAGATGTACGCATCACTTTGGTGATATGTTAAAAAAATACAATCTTAATCTAATCATAAGAAAGCATCAGACAAATCCAAATATTTGATATTCGATATTCTATAAAACTGACAACTACTCTTCAAAAGGTGTCAAAGTTATGAAAGACAAGGAAAACCTGAGGCACTATCAAGACTAGAAGAGATGATGGGGTGCCTGGGTGGCTCAGTCGGTTGAGCATCTGACTTTGGCTCAGGTCATTATGTCATGATTTGTGAGTTTAAGCCCCACATTGGGCTCTCCGCTTTGGACCCTCTGTCTCCCTCTCTGTCTCTGTACCTCTCCTGTTCACGCTCTCCCCCTTAAAAATAAATAAACATTAAAAAAAAACAACAAAGACTAGGGGTGCCTGGGTGGCTCAGTCAGTTAAGCGTCTGACTCTTGGTTTCAGTTCAGGTCATGATCTCATGGTTCATCATTTAGAGCCCTGTGTCAGGCTCTGTGCTGACAGCTCAGAGCCTGGAGCCTGCTTCAGATCCTGTGTCTCCCTCTCTCTCTCTGCCCGTCTCCCTTTCACACTCTCTTTCTCTCTTTCAAAAATGGATAAACATTAAAAAAAAAAAAAGACTAGAGAAGATGAATAGGACATGACAACTGAATGCAGTGTGGGAACCTAGAGAACAGTGGTGGAAAAACTGATGAAAACCAAATAAAGCCTGTAATTGGTCAATACTATTGTACTAATTTCTTAGTTTTGAAAATTGTATTATTTATGTTAAGGTGAATGAAGGACATATAAAAATTTTGTGCTCTTTCTATAACTGTCCTGAGTGTTCAAAATTATTTCAAAATAAAATTAAAAAAAATATTTAGTTAAAAAAAAGAAAAAAAAGAAAAGAAAAGAGAAAGAAACCATAAAAGAATTAGAGAAATCTTAAAACTTCCATACAGCAGGCAGCTACTTATACCTTACAATAAACATTAAAAATTTTTTTAAATTTATTTTGAGAGAGAAAGAGCATGCGCACAAGGGAGAGGCAGAGAGAGAGAATCCCAAGCAGGTCCACACTGTCAGGGGCAGAGCCCACCACAGTGCTTGAACCCATGAACCATGAAATAATGACCTGAGCTAAAACCAAGAGTTGGGGGCTTAACCGACTGAGCCACCCAGATGCCCCTAACTTATAAATAAACATTTTATTAAAAAGGCCAATATGTAGTATAAATTCATGGAAGAACACACACACACACACACACACACACACACATGATTACCAACAAATGTACATGATTAGGGAGAAAATTAAAGTTTCCATTTTCAAAAGATGCCTGCTGGCCCAGTATTAAATAAGAATCAGAACATTGAACCATATCATATATTTATTCTAAGAACTATACTTCAAACACACAACATTTAATGTTACAGTCTCTCCATTACTGCAACTGACTGGCATAAAATAAATCACTCTGTTAAAAATAAAAGCATGGGGCGCCTGAGTGGCGCAGTCGGTTAAGCGTCCAACTTCAGCCAGGTCACGATCTCACGGTCCGTGAGTTCGAGCCCCGCGTCGGGCTCTGGGCTGATGGCTCAGAGCCTGGAGCCTGTTTCCGATTCTGTGTCTCCCTCTCTCTCTGCCCCTCCCCCGTTCGTGCTCTGTCTCTCTCTGTCCCAAAAAATAAATAAACGTTGAAAAAAAAAATTTTTTTTTAAATAAATAAATAAATAAAAGCAATTCTTAAGATTTCCAAAATCAAAGTACTTACCAAAGGAAAAAAGATGAGTTACAGGAAGCTGAATGGTTCTCATCTCTTTTTTAAAGAATTCACAATCCACAACAAACTAAAATATAAAATATTGACTTATTAGAAAAAAATAGAATTAAATTTATAGTAAAATATCTTCACTGGATGTTTAAGTGGAAAATAAAAGTCTATAAACTAGCTTTACAGAAGTTATTACCTATCACATTCTAACTCTGGCTATACTTAGATGGCCAACAATTACTCAAGGAGGGATACTAAACTAACAAAATCTGATGCACTATCTTAATTTCATAGACATATTATTGGAGGATCATTTGTGTAACAGCTGATGTATAGCAGTTTTCTTCAGGTTACTCTTAGGTGTTCGTAGAAGAAGGACTTTAAAGGATGGATCAAAGCATTAAGAACCAAGGTTAACTCAAGATTAATTAGAGATTTAAATAAAAATCTCTGAATACTTTCAAAGTCAAAAAGAAATGATTTTGTTACATTTACTTTTGTAAAAATCCCACATTTATTATGTATCTACAACACTTTAATTAGACTACAAAAGACTTGGAGACAGACATACTACCATTCATCTACCAATCATTAACGCTATTTGTATGATTATTTCAGGTTAAACAGTGATTGGAATAAATGGAAAAAAAGGTTTAGTATGTATAAAGCAAGAAAAAGAAATGCTATCTTGGGGCACCTGGGTGGTTCAGTTGGTTAAAAGTGTCTAGCTCTTGATTTCAGCTCTGGTATGATCTCATGGTTCAGTTCATGGGATGGAGCCCTGTGTAGGGCTGTGCACTGACAGCATGGTGCCTGCTTGGGATTCTCTCTCTCCCTTTCTCTGCCCCTCCCCTGCTTGTACACTCTCTCTGTCTCAAAATAAATAAACTTTTTTTTTTTTAAGTTTAAAAACTTGAGAGAATCCCAAGTAGGCTCTGTGTGCTATTAGCAAAAAGCCCGATGTGGGGTTCGAGCCCATGAACCATGCAGGAGATCATGATACAAGTCAAAATCAAGAGTCAGACACTCAACCAACTGAGCCAGAGGTGCCCCTAAATATACCAAAAAAGATGCCATCTCAAAAAAAGTAAAATTAAAATGTTACATTGGCACGATTACAAATTTTTGTAATGGCATTTCTTTTGTAATAACATTTCTATAACAGCATAAAGGAACTTTGCCCTAAGCTGTCTGCAATTAGAATGTTATCATTAAAATAATTTCCAAAAGGAAACCAAATTTCTTTGGTCTATAGGAGCCAAAGAAAAAATTAATCTGATGCTTAATTGTAGTGAGCAAGTAGTTTGCTGTTGATAGGAAGTAGAAAGCCAGTGAGGTTTATCCTAGGGTTTTCCAATAAGTGCACCTTGGATTGTGCTTGAAGCTCAATAGGCTGTTATTTTGTTTGCCTCTTAGGTGGATTTTTTGTTTCTGAAAGTGAAAAGCAGATGTGGGAAAATGCTATTTGACTACAGTGCACACAAGGGAATAAAAGGAAATACTTGTCAAGGGGCTTTGCTTCATTCCCTGCTTCTATCCTTACATGGCCAAGAATACCATCAGACACTTCCTTATAGAAAACCACCGTTACAAGGTTAGGGCAATCATTTACTGAATAGGATTATTCATCTTATTTTTAACAAAACATTTTTAGTGAGACATTGCCTCAGAGAACCATTTTAACTTTATAATTTTTTAAGTTTATTTTGAGCGAGAGCGCATGCGAGAGAGGGAGGGGCAGAGACAAATGGAGAGGGAGAGAATCCCAAACAGGCTCTGAGCTGACAGTCCAGAGCCTGATGTGGGGCTTGATCTCACTAACTGAGATTATGACCTGAGTCAAAATCAAGAATCTGACATTCAACCAACTGAGCCACCCAGGGACTCCAACAGAGAATTTTAAATCACTTTGTACAGGTATTTAAAATATGGGGCGCCTGGGTGGCTCAGTCGGTTAAGCATCTGACTTCGGCTCAGGTCATGATCTCACGGACTGTGAGTTCGAGCCCCGCGTCGGGCTCTGTGCTGACGGCTCGGAGCCCAGAGCCTGCTTCGGATTCTGTGTCTCCCTCTCTCTCTGCCCCTCCCCTGTTCATGCTCTGTCTCTGTCTCAAAAATAAATAAACATTAAAAAAAAAAAATTTTAAATAATATAATTTTTATTGTTGCTTTAAAAATTTGGCTATGCCCTTTAAGATGGAATAAACCCATACCCAAGAAAAGAATTCAAGGTTCTCTTTCTAATGAACTTAATTATTTGTTTTCTGTCATCAAAAAAATGTAATTCCATATTTGTATATTGAAAATTGTATTATCAGTTGACTGAAAAATAAATTCAAACTATTTAAATATATGTATCCTTCTAATGATGGGTTATAACAGATATAGAGAAATTATGAAAGGCCTAAATTAACATTTTATAAGACTGGGTGTGTAACAGTACAGTCAGCAAGTGGTACTTTCCAAAGAGCATTAAGACATATTAAATATTCATTAGGCTGCTAAGGCTGCCTATTTGTGAAAGGCTCATTCATTTCTTGGAATAACCAGAGACGGCCTTTCCAAGTTTGGGAAAGATGTTTAATTCATTCAAAACCAACTTACCTGACAGAAAACCCCCTAAAGAGAGCTTTTAGAATTGAAGATGTTGAATTATCTCTCACTTGAGCTAAGCAAAACAAAACAATCAATCTATTATAAGGTGCTTCTAGATTCAGTCTTTGAGTTAATCTCTGACTACATCCCCTTTTTCCTTTATCTTTAAAATTTTCCTAATGATTTTGGCCTCAAATCTCTACAATTTTCTCATTCAAAAAACATTTTTTGAGCATTTATATGGTAGTGAGTTGCTAAAGGTTGAGGATGCTGAGTAGAATAAAATCTATCTGGTCTTAGTCTCAAAGGATTCACAATATGGTGGTGGGAATAGAGACATAAATTATAATTCAGTGTAATAAATCCCTCAAAGTTAAAGTGTCATGGAAGCAAGAGGTTGCCTAAAGGAGTCATGAAATGGAAAACAGGGGACACTTAAGCTAGATTTTGAAGGATAAATTTATTGGGTGAAATATGGAAAGGGGAATAGAGGGTCTTTTACCTCCATTTTCTTGCTTCTCCCTCCCCCAACTTCTCTTAAAAATCACCATCTCTACCGAGTGGGAGCATTTCTATTCCCACTTCCATATTTCAAGTCCTCATAACCCCTTATGAAGTATCTTGTCTGTTTCTAATCCATCATACTATAGATTCATCTTCCAAAACGGCTGATTCCATTTCTGAAAATCTTTCAGCTGTCTACTAACTCGTGAATTCTATAAAGTCCTGAATCTTCCAATCAAAGTCCTCCACAATATGGCCATGGACTACTTTCCCAGACTTTTCTTCCACCACTATTCTACCCATGGTGGCCAACTTTTCAAAATTACTGTTTACTTATTCATTGTTTTCCAAACATCCTACACTTTCACACTTGCATACTTGGATCTATTCCTTTGACCCAGCAGTGCTGGTCATTATAACTTTCTGCAATGATGTTACTATTGAGCACCTGGAATGTGGCTAGTACAACCAAGGAAATTAATTTTTTATTTTATTTAGTTTTGTTTTTGAATTAAATAGCCACATGTGATCATAACACCCATACTGGCTAGCACAGGTCTACAATGTTCATTCTACCCATAAAAATCTTAACTATCCTTTAAGGCATTTTATTTTTTAAAAATCTTTTTTTCATTTTTATTTATTTGAGGGGGAGAGAGAGCGAGAGAGAGCGAGTGCACGCAAGCAGGGGTGAGGTGCAGAGGAAGAGAGAGAAAGAAAATCCCAAGCAGGCTCCATATTCAGCCCAGAGCCTGAGGCAGTACTCGATCCCACGATCTGAGACAAAATCAAGAGTCGGATGGTCAACTGACTGAGACACCCAGGCACCCCAAGGCAATTTTAAATATCACTTCATAATAAAGCATTTCTTCATTCCATCATTCAGAGATAGCTCCCCTTCTTATACTTATTTATTTACTATATTCTGATTTGTATTATATTTTTGGGTATCTCACTCTTCCCTCTGCTTCCAAATGTTTCTCTCCCCTACCCAACAGTACGTAGCTTTTTGAGAATAAGATTGATTTGTGGGCCTCCTATAATTCCTGGCAGAGTCTTAACATAAAAGGGTACTCAATAATGAATAGATTTTGAAATAATAATATATAAATTAAGTTCCCACTTTGAACACAGAGACTTAGGTTTATTCTACTTAGTTCATGTTAGAATAGATGATCCTATGATTTAACAGTCTTAGGTGGATCACTGAACTAGCCACTGTTTTAGATAAGCATTATACTAATGAAGTCATCAAAAAATAACTTAAATATTTAGCATGAGTATCCATAAAACATTGATAATAACCTTAATCCATTTGTTACCTTACTTCCATGAATAGATGGTACATAAACCACAAGATGAGACAAAGAAGGATAGTCTTGAAGTCTTAATGTCAGAGACTAAAAGAAAAAAAAACAAAAAAACCCCCACAATATAAACAGCTGATTTCTGATGGTACACAGAGCTTAAAGCATGTTAAAAGATAAATTACAAACACTAATTTCTTATTATTTTGTTATTAAAGAAACTGATTTCAAACTTCACATTTAGGACTTCGTAAAACTCCCATATTTACATTTTCAGGTTAATAATCCTGCTGAAGTAAAATTCCTGATAATTTTGTAAGTACAGACTACCAAAACTATTCCTTGAACTATATCCCTTCTTGTAAAACAAATGACAGTTAATACTAAATTTAGTGGTTTTACATAATTATTTCCAGATATGGTATCTTTTTTTTTTCAACGTTTTTTTTATTTATTTTTGGGACAGAGAGAGACAGAGCATGAACGGGGGAGGGGCAGAGAGAGAGGGAGACACAGAATCGGAAACAGGCTCCAGGCTCTGAGCCATCAGCCCAGAGCCCGACGCGGGGCTCGAACTCACGGACCGTGAGATCGTGACCTGGCTGAAGTCGGACGCCCAACCGACTGTGCCACCCAGGCGCCCCCAGATATGGTATCTTTTATAACTTGTCCATTTGTTTTTTTATAACATATGATTTCTACATTTATTTTGGTGGTATATGACAAAGAGCATTCAATGAATGAATAAATGAATACTAAAAATAATGGAAGAGTTGCAACTTAACCTCAAATGATTCTGATCTAGCCCAAGCAGTAAAGACTTGCCATCTAATGATGTATATAAACATCACCTCCTGGAAATTATTCAGCAAATGACATGAAGACACAATACGACTAATAATGTACCTTATCAAATGAACATCTCTATTTTCAAAATTAAGACCAGATCCTTTAGTCCATATTTTGAGGAGTGATTAGATAGGAGACTGGTCGATTTAATGAAAAACGAAGCCACCATATACAGGGATTTTTTTTTTTTAAGTTTATTTATTTTGAGAGAGACCACGAGCAGGAGAGGAGCAGAGAGAAAAGAAGAGAGAATCCCAAGCAGGCTCCACGCTGTCAGTGCAGAGATCACTGGGGAGCTCAATCCTATGAACCATGAGATCATGAGCAAAAATCAAGAGTTGGACACTTGATCGACTGAGCCACCCAGGTGCCCCCAAATATAGTTTTTAAATACGTTTTTTTTTCCTGGAAGTAGGAGTGGGGATGGAAGTAGTTATATGTGGTAACAATTTGTATGCATTAAGAAATTTCTGCAGACAGTTAACCTTCTCCAGTGTTTTTCAGAAGCACATATGTGGGCAAGTTGAACAAAGGTGCTGAAGCTACAGAACTGTTAACAAGTGGCCCTCTAACAACCTGACCAGATTCACCCGTGAGTGTTTTTAAACTCCTAGGCTTCACCTCTACTTGGCAGTCTCAACAAGACTTAATACATTCTACTGTAAATGAAAAGGCCTTAAAGAGGTCTCAAAAATCACAGTGACAGGCAATTGAGACTACCCAGACAAATGGTAGATTAATTATGAAAGATTAATTAGAAAGAACCATGGTTACTTTGTGTAGTTATCCAAATAGCTTTTGTTATTAATTTGCAAGAATAATTTTTTCTCAAGAATTATTTTTAGGATCAGAATACTCTGAAAAGGTAACAGTGCCAAAAAATTTCCTTATAAAATTCTCATATAGTTATAATGTTAGTAGGTATGAACAATATAATAATTCATGCAATTGTTATATTGACAAATAAGATTAATATGAAGCTTGGAAATTTTTCAGTGTTTTAAGGGATTTTATTTATTTTTGGGACAGAGAGAGACAGAGCATGAACGGGGGAGGGGCAGAGAGAGAGGGAGACACAGAATCGGAAACAGGCTCCAGGCCCTGAGCCATCAGCCCAGAGCCTGATGCGGGGCTCGAACTCACGAACCGCGAGATCGTGACCTGGCTGAAGTCGGACGCTTAACCGACTGCGCCACCCAGGCGCCTGGTGTTTTAAGGGATTTTAAAATGCCCTTAATGCTGGGACAATACACACTGGAAATTAAACACCAAGTTTTGGGGAGCCTGGGCAGCTTAGTCAGTGAAGTGTCCAATTCCTGATCTCAGCTCAGGTCTTGATCTCAGGGTCATGAGTTCAAGTCCCACATTGGGCTCCAAGTTTTGATGTCAAAAACCCTCTAAGTTCTGCTGCTGTTTGCAGAGCAAGGCTATGATGCTAAAGTATGATTAAGGCAAAATGGTGACAAGATAGTTTTCTCATATAAGGTAGGTATCTTTAGAAAGTTAATTTTTGTGTTTGTTTTCAACAATAAATCCATTTTGGCTTACCAAATTCTTGGCCTGCTGTGTTGTGTTTTGAAGAAACTTCTTCATTGTACCCATGGAAGAAAAATTCCATGGGATTGGCATTTAAAAACTGAATTTACAAGTGCTATGCTGGACTCTTCTATTTATTACAGTTCAGTCAGCAGCAATGCTAAAAGTGGTATGATTCTATGAACCTAACATTGCTTTCATTGAGATGATATAAATAAAATCCACAAAATCTTATCAATCTTTTCCCTTCAACTTGATGACAAAATAATTTTGTGTTCTTTTTACAAATGGCTAACACATATATAATTTTGATTTTCATGAAAATGGAAAAATTTATGTTTAATAATTATAATCCTCTTCAGATGAGAACACCAAAGACTGAAGAATATTATAATCCTTGTTTTCTAAACTTCCTTCTTCCATTTTCCCCCTTCTAAATTTCAGTAGGCTTTTAACATTGTCTGACAACCTCTTTCAGCATTCACTATAAAAAGCAGCTGGAATAGCTTGTTCTCCTGCTGTTCAGCCAGCTATTTCTTACATTTAGAAGAAACACATGGGGTCCAGAACTAGATGAATACATTGTTTAATCTTTGAGATCAAACATATATTATAAGGATATTATTATTTAAGAACTAACTTTTTAAAAATAGGAGCAAAGTAATATCCTATCAGGGTTTTCTTTTTTTTTTAAGTTTACTTAGAGAGAGAGCCATGAGTGGGGCAGGCGTGGAGAGAGAGAATCCCAAGCAGGCTCTGCAGTGACAGTGGACTTGAAGTCATGAACTGTGAAATCATGACCTGAGCCAAAAATCAAGAGTCAGACGCTTAACTGAGTTACCCAGGTGCTCCTCTATCAGATTTTAATCATTTCCTCCGAACTCTTAAATAACAGATTGGTTAGGATATCCAAACTGGAAATTCAAGGAAAGATGTATGAATGATTATGAGCTATACCCTAATACTTTTGTTTGTTTTGCTCCTGCCTACATTAAAGTAGAATCCGTGAGAGACATTAAAAATGTTCCTGTGAATGTAATCACTTTCCTATAATACTTGTCTCTTAAATACAAAGCCACATGACTGAATATGCACAAAGTAAGGATGACCAAGGTGACAGAAAAAATTGCAACCATTTCAAAGTCAAGTGTGAAGTAACTAGCAATTATTCATTCTGTCATTCCTCTCTGTTAGTAAAGTTGACTATACATAAAAATATAAACATTCATGAACACAAATTAACTAAACTGGAGTGGGAGATGACTGGGACCAACCAGATGGCTTCACTTTCTTTTTTAAAATTTATTTATTATTTTTTAAAATTTATTTATTTATTTTGAGAGAGAGAGAGAGAGAGAGAGAGAGAGCGCGCGCGCGCAGAGGAGGGGCAGAGAGGGAAGGAGAGAAATTCCAAGCAGCCTCCACACCATCAGCCCAGAGCCTGTTGTCAGGCTTGAACTCAAGAACCATGAGACCATGATGTGAGCTGAAATCAAGAATCAGAAGCCTAACCAAATGAGCCACCCAGGTGCCCCAGATGGTTTCACTTTCAAGTTTATGAGGCTAGGATTCATTATGAAAATACATTAAAAAAATTTTTTTTGATGTTTATTTTTGACAGAGAGCTCAAGGAGGGGAGGGACAGAGAGAGAGGGAAACACAGAATCCAAAGCAGGCTCTAGGTTCTGAGCTGTCAGCACAGGGCCTGACGTGGGGTTGGGACCCAAGAACTGTGAGATCATGACCTGAGCCAAAGTCAGAAGCTTAACAGACTGAGCCACCCAGGCGCCCTTGAAAATACATTTTTAAAGTATAAATTTACTTGAAGACTAAAAATTACCAATCCTGATATAATATTATGGGTTATAATAAATACAATTTGGAAATTACAATGGATATTTTCATCAAATTTTAGAACTGTTTTATTTTCCCAATAATATTAACCTTTTGTAAAAAGACTTGCTGACCTGTCAGAGTTTAAGAAATCACTAACAATTAAATAAATCCCATGGAGTACTAGATAAAGTAGAGTTATCCAAGTGCTTGACCACAAAGTGATGTTGAAGTTGATCTGGAAAATTACTTTGCACCTCTTTAAGATGCTCACTTCCCTACTGTAAGTCCTCTCCAAAACTCAAACTACTACTCAGCTTCTATTTTAAGATAGACCATCCCAAACATACTCTCAAATTCAATTTTAAAAATTTATCTAGCTCTTGGTATGATGCTATAATATACAGATTTAATTTTATTAATTTTTTTTATTATTTATTTTTGAGGGAGAGAGAGAGAGAGAGAGAGAGAGACAGAGTGCAAGTGGGGGAGAGGCAGACACAGAATCTGAAGCAGGCTCCAGGCTCTGAGCTGTCAACACAGAGCCAGGCGAGGGGCTAAAACCCACAAACCGAGATCATGACCTAAGCCGAAGTCAGATGCTTAATCCAGACGCTTAACTGACTGAGCAACCCAGGCATCCCTTAATTTTATTTAGAAAAGTGTTAACTTACAGTTTTTACCTCTGAAAGTAAAAAAAAAAAAAAAAAAAAAAAATTCATGTTATTCCCCATTAAATATATTACCAGAGAAAATATTTCTAGGGGCGCCTGGGTGGCTCAGTCGGTTGAGCATCCGACTTCAGCTCAGGTCACGATCTCACGGTTTGTGAGTTCGAGCCCCGTGTCAGGCTCTGGGCTGATGGCTCAGAGCCTGGAGCCTGCTTCCGATCTGTGTCTCCCTCTCTCTCTGCCCCTCCCCCATTCATGCTCTGTCTCTCTCTGTCTCTAAATAAACATTAAAAAAAATTTTTTTTTTAAATTAAAAAAAGAAAATATTTCTAAAATTTATGTTAGCAAATCTCAAGTTTACTTAATACTTAGATGAATTCATAGAAGACCATATTCTAAAATGCCTATAGACGCAAGTCTTTTTAGTATTTTTTTCCACTGGATATTAAAATTCTAAAGCCATAATTTACCTTAATTGTTGGCAGCAGTTCAGCTTTCCATGATAAATCAATCCCTTGCCGGCTTTGAAATGAATATGAAAATATAATTAAAGAACAAATATATTAAAATACTATAATTTATAAATAAGCTTCAGAGGAAAAAGAAACCAGCTACAGACCTATCAGTGAAAGTTCTAATGAAGTTAAGTCCAGTAAATCTAATCCAATATACTCTTATCTATAAAGACTTTAGGGTACAAAAAAAATGTTTTTCCTAGCAACTAACTATTTCAATGTTTGCAAATATTATTGGTGCTAATTTCCTTTCTTTTTCATTTTAAAATCTATACTACAATTTAGTATAGCAGCAAAATGAGTTTAATAATGTATGAAGCTATTCTAAAAAGTGCGGTGTGATTTGTATTTGTATTGAGAAAAATGAACAATCAAGGTTCAAAAGACTTACCACATAGAAGTGCTGTTTATGCAGCCAAATATCCAACTATTTGTATCCTGTTGATTAATAACACAAAGCACATAAAATGTTATAGAAAATAATTATATAAAATAGTCAGCTTTAACATTTTACTGTTATGTTACAGAGTCAGTAGGCACAATGGAAACATAAAATAGCAACTTGTTATTGAGAAACATTTCCAAGCAGTTGTCAAAAGTCATATAATATAGGTCAAGGGTAGGCAAAGACGTCTGATGTCAACATAGATAGGTAAGCAAATAACCTAGAACAGCAGTAAGAGAAAGAGTGACCTCTGAACAGCATATTGCCTAAGTAATTCTAATTTTTGAACCAACACTTCCAGAGTTCAGAAACGTCCATACTTTAATTAGGTAGTTACATAGTAAGTAAACTACATTTTAAGTAAAAACAGAAGAATGATCACCTAGAGGTGGACTTTTTTTTTTTTAATTTTTTTTAATGTTTATTTATTTTTGAGAGAGACAGTGACAGAATGCAAGTGGGATAGGGACAGAGAGAGAGGGAGACAGAATCCGAAGCAGGCTCCAGGCTCTGAGCTGTCAGCACAGAGCCCAACACGGGGCTTGAACTCACGAGCTGTGAGATCATGATCTGAGCTGAAGTCGGATGCTCAACCGACTGAGCCACCCAGGCGCCCCGAGGTGGACTTTTATAAAAATAGAAGAAAAAAAAAATCCAGAGCCAAGTAATTAAAAACAGCAATTATTCTAAGTATAGCTTGTTAGTTTATTGTTGGGTACTTATTTGATTATCATGCAAAACTTCTATGTAATTGAGAATGTGTTTGGGTTGAAGCAAAACTGCAAGGGCTCAAAACAAAAGCTAGTTATTACTTTATCTGGGTAGCAGGGGAATGCTGCAGAGATGGTAGTGATAGTTTAACAATATTACGTTATTTATCTTCAGTAGTTTAAAAGCAGTAGGACTAAAAGACCAAAGGAAGTAGTAAGAGCAATGTTCCAAGATGTGATGATCCAACTACTGAAATCCTACACCAAGGTGTAAGAGGATAAAAAACACTGCTCAGGAAGCTACATAAAATTTGCTTTAGTAAACAGAGAGGACAATGAAAAAGAAATTAATCCCTTCATTCAACCAGTATTTACAAAATCCATTCTAGAACCGTGGAATCATGCTAAGCCTCCAAGGAAAATGATAAATGAGACAGTCACCATCTCTGCCCTCATGGGGCTTAAATACAATTTCAAGACATTTTCCAACAATACAGAAAAGAAAGCTGAAAGGAAACAAAAAACAATGTGGTATTTGTCTGCTCTCCACTGCAGGCAAAATACTTACCGAACTTCTGCATCAGGTGCCCGTGTTTCCCAGAATAACGTAATATTAAAAAGGCAAAAAAAAAAAAAAAAAAAAAAAAAAAATCTGCATAGCTTAGATAAGAAAAGTCCAGCAAGCTCTAAAGATCCAACCCACTTTTGTAATGGGTTTTTGCAGGGAGCCTATCCTAAGATAACCCTTAATATGAAAGTTGCTAATATTCCACACTATTTACACTTCAGTGTATAGTGAATTCTGACTTATTTATTAACAAATTGAAAAAGTATTATTCAAGCCCATCCTAAAACACCATGTTGATATAATCTATAAGGTGTCAAAAGAACAATTTCAGGTCATCTAGTAAGCATCCCTAACTCAACTAATTATAAAAATTATATTAAAAATCTTAGAAAAAGTCACTCAAAAAATGCCAACTAATTCCTAAGGTATACAGAAAATGCTACTTGATCATAAAATTTATAGATCTAAAAAGAAATACATCTACAGTAAAAAACAATGCTCTCAATGGCTGCTAAAACTGTTAGGTAAAAAATTGATTAGGAACTTTATAAAAGATATATCATGCTGATACCACCCTAGTCCACTGATAAGTCTTTAGGTCACTAAAGTGGGACAACCAGATACTATAGATCTTCTAATAAGTACACAGTTCTACTTATAAAACATTCTTGCCACAAAAAATGATAATTAATCAAAAATCAAAGTTCTCACACAGAGCCTGCTTTGGATCCTCTGTCTCCCTCTCTCTACCATGCTCACGCTCTCTTTCTCTCTCTCTCAAAAATAAATACACATTGAAAAAAAAAGATACCATAAGAATACAGTCAGCTAGGGGTACCTGGGTGGCTTAGTCGGTTGAGTGTCAGACTCTTGATTTCAGCTCATGATCTCATGGTTCTGGAGACTGAGCCCTTGAGTTGGGGGGGTGGGTAGAGTCTCTCTCTTTCCCTCTCTCTCTGCCCCACCCCCACTTGGCTCTCTCAAAATAAATAAATAAACTTAAAAAAAAAAGAATACAATCAGCTAAACCCAGATTATGGGAATTCTGTAGAACATATAACCCACTTTCTTAAATAAATGGTGGGGGGGGGGAGTAAAGAGGGGCTGCTATAAAAGAGACTTAGGATCCATGAATCAAATGCAACATGTGTACTTTTTAGATTCTGATTCAAATAAACCAATGTACAATTAATTGAATGAGAGGAAAATTCAACATGGACTGGGTACCACATGATATTAAGGTATTAATAATTAATTTTATTGGATGAAATAATGGTATTATAGTAACATGCACAATTCTAATCTGTTAGAAAAACATATTGAAGTATTTAATGATGAAATGATAAAATGCCTAGAATTTGTTTTAAACATGGTTCAGTCAAAAAAAAAGTGAGGAAAGTATAAACAAGAATGGCAGTGTTGCTATAGCTATGTGATGATTATGTGAGATTTCATTATTATATTCTATTTTTATATGATTGAAAGAAAACTTCTATAATACAAATTGAAAATATTTTAAAAATTCACTACATGACTTTATCCTAATTAATACCCATGGACCTTAATTACAGAAAAGAAATCCTCCAATAAGTCAAATGGATAATTTGAACTTTGGCAAGGATTTTTCTCAATATAATACTAAAACTGTCATTTGGAATTTAGTATTAAGTGAGTTTGGATATTTTAAGACAGCAGTCTAAGGGCTAGATTCTCCTAAGATAAACTGCCCATACAGATTTTAGGCTAAGAGATGCTAGTCTCTGTGAGAGACACAAAACTCTGGTCATCCCACTAAAATTAGTTTTCATTAGCATCTAGCCCACAATGCTTGCCTATAATCTTTTCTAAAGATTTTACAAAATATCAAATGGCAGTATTTACCAAGAAAGTGACACATGAGATTCTAGTTCTAAAGAATACAAACAATCCAACAAAAGGGAGAAGAGGAAATAAATTATGAAAAATGCATAGACAAAGTGAAGAATCCTGGGAAATGAAAAAAAAAAACTTTTTTCAAAAAAAGAGGGAAAAGAACCCAAATTGGGAAACAAGTTCCCGAAAGTATGCTGATAAATTATTACTTAAATATTCCTAATATAACAAAGGCATGCTATAGCATTTAACATATTTTTTACAATGTCTAACATAGTAGGTACTCATTAAAAAGAAATAAGAAAAATAATCATTTTGTTAACTCTTTGTCTAGGTAACACTGTAACAAAGTTATTATTTTAGAAAATGGTATAAAAAAACCTGCAATTTTAGTGTGGTAGCCAATGGAAAACAGTATTTACTTCATACAGAACAGTTTTGCTTAAATGTATCTGTGAATTTTAAAATTAAAGGAGATTGAACTGAATTCCTTCATCCTAAATACAGTGAAAGTAAGGCAGAAAAACAATGTGAAAGACCTAAACTAGAACCAAGAGTATAATTTCGTAGTAAATTATCAGTCAAAGGAACAATGATTAATATTTTTTAATCAAAACTCCGTTCCAGACAAATATTTTTCAACTTATTAGATTTGATTAATAGCTCATAGCTAGAGGATATCTACTAGATATTAGTCAAATCTTTAAAAACCTAACCTTTTAAATTTACATAAAATGTGCCAATCATCTTACCAGCATGGTGCTCTGACAATATACATGAGTGTAGATTTTTCTATGATTTGCAAGAGGAAACATAAAATATATCTTATCAGATTCCTAAAAAAAAAAAAAGGGAAAACATAATAAAACTATTAAGAGAGTAGATAAATTCATCATTCAAATATCCAGATAAAGCAATGAGTAATTATTCTAGTTTTATCATTCTTGGTATTGTTAAGAACCAACATTCTAGGAGTGGGAAGATGTAAGACAGATATAAGACAGGGGTATCAAGTACCCTGTAGTCCCGAATTTGTCCTGGAAATATTGTTTGGGTTGAGGTTTTGGCCTTATGATCAAGATAAAATACATTTCTTAACTCTGTCCACTGAAAAGGCCTAGAAATGCTAACCCAGTAGCCATAAACATCTCTAGTGCCCAAATTATGGTTTTTAGACACCAAATAATATTAAAAGCTCCTTAGAGAAAAAGCTGATTCAAAGTATGCGGCAGGAAATGTGCAAAATGAGCTCAAATATCTTCTCATACTAGATAGGGAATAAACTATCAAAGACAACTAAAGAAAAGCTTTATCAAAAAGATTCAGAAGCCTAACTTGAAATGCCTTCCATTGGTCAAAGACAGAACGACTTTAATAGTTTAGATGGAAGTGCAAACATGTTTGAAGTATGAGTTCATAATAATACTAGAAGAAAAAGTCCCCCAAACCATTTATGATTACTGATTGAGGAGGCTTGTGAGCCAACTAGCTATTATGAAAACCAGAAATATAAGACCCAAAGATACAGGCAATTTTAATTTTTTCCTTTTGTGATTATGTTCCACTTCTGATAAATTTAGATGAGAAATTTCCCCATACAGTGCTCTATTTAATAAAGAAAAAGTAATCAAATTAGAGTGCCACCATTTTTGCATCCCCCTAAATGAATTAATGACTCTAGGCATTCTTCATCAATAGCTGCTAACATCACACAAAAAAAGAGTAGCCAAAACAAAAGCTGACTCTGATCAAGCAACTGAATCTGATCCACAAACTAAGTCACCAGAAGAGTAGACAAAGGAATATATAAATGGCATGCAATGGGGAATATAAGAGAATGCATATAAGGGAATGCAATCAGCAAAATCAAGACTGTGAAACTCCAGAGGACCAATGATTTGTTTTTTCAACAAATAAGCTGCAAGGAAAGAATGGGGTAGAGGAAGTATGAGAGATTAAAAGAGGAATAAGAGACATATCAACAAATGACAATATGTGGACACTTGTACTCTCAAACAAACTGAGAAACAAAAAATTTGACAATTATGATAAAAGTGGATAACTGAACACTAACTAGATATTATTAAGGAATTTTCATTAAATTGTTTTAATGTGGGAAAATGATATATAGTTATCTTTTTAAAAGAGTCTTTAACTTTTAAAGATAAACAGTAAAATGTTTTTGAAAAAAAAGTAAAAAAAATCCATTGATGGTATACTTACATTATAAGCCACATAGGTCCATTTGGACACTTTTACTGGAACCCACATAGATGTCCCTAAGGTAAAGGAAGTTAATTTTGAAACATTAAACAATTTCTTTTACTGAATGCTCATGAAATATACTTCTTTTTTTGAACTACTTCTCAATTACAGCAGGATTTGAAAAACAGGGTTTCCTGAACAATGGCTATTTTAAAATAAAAAATCCAGTAAGATGTTATCTATATGCTCATTAGCAACTAGCATTCACATCAAGGAAAGCATCTTAAATCTATCTGGTGCTTTTAACTCTAAGAAAGTATCAATAAAAAGGAAATAAATTATTTCATTTTCCAAACTGAGTATGACAGGTAATATGTTAACAGCAAAAGATACGCTGTTATACTAAAAGAAGACTGAAAAATGACTGATACTGAAAACCTAAGTAAAGATTAATTATTTTATGGGACTGTCAGGAGAATAGAGACATTTAACTCTATCTTTAAGTTTTTTCTACTTGTCATGTTATTTTCAGGACAAAATTTTTATCAACCACATCTTATAAATTGTTTTTTCAACTCTTTCCCTTCCTTAACCAAGAACCTCATCAGAAACTATCACAGAAAAATTAATAAGATATAACAGAATTACAGTACCTGAAATACCAAAGTTTCAAAGACTTTGTCTGCTAATAATAAATTTACCTAAAAATAATAATCAAAACTTAATTTAAAATAAAAACATGTTATTACCACCAACCTGTTAAGTCAGAAATTATTGCTGGATTTTCCTCAAAGTGTTTTGCTGGATGTCTTATAAAGTGGTGATTCAAAACTGACAATTTCTTCTTGGGATTTTGAGTTATCTAGAAAGAAGGATACATTCTGCATCTTTTTGTATCCATTGTGATAGTTCAATAAAACTTTGCTTCAAATAATAACAATAAGAACCAAGAGTTATTTACTCTGGGTCAGGCACTGTTCTAAGTACTTAATATGTTATTAACTCATTTAAGCATCACAAGAGCTCTAGGAGATAATAACCTTTACATATGCATTTTTACAAAGAAACCAAAAGCAGACAGAAATTAAGGAACTTGCCCAAGGTCACATTCCTATTCAGAGTCTGGGTCAGGATTCAAACCCAGGCAGTCTGGCTCCAGAACCCATGACATTAATCATTATGTAACAGTACCTCTTAAGTAACAGTTAAGAATAAAATATACAAAGGTGTATAGAGTCAGATGGGAACTTAAGAGATCCACCCGACTAGTGATTCCAACACACTGATTCCAAACTCAGGCCAGTGCCAATCCCACAACAAATAATTCACTGGTCATTAGAGAAAATATGAATTGCCAACTGCACTTCCTTAGAAACTACTTTACTTTGTCCTACTTACTTTCATTGTGTCTAAATGTCCTTTCTTTCATGAAATGAAAATGAGAGCAGAAAATAGGATTTTTTTATTGCCTGTTTTAAAATACCATAGCACAATAAATATCTACAACTTTATACCAGTTTCTCCCTTAAAGAAAAAAAAAGTACTGGGTATAAAATCCATTTAGAATCTACCACTATTTAATTCTCTAATTTAAGCACTGAGGCTCTGACAGGTAAGCGATTTTCTCAGTAACATAGTGAGAGGATGAAAAAGAAATGACAGTGAGGACCCATGTCTAGTAAATCTTTTCAATCCCTTAGGAAGTCACCTTTTGCTTGAACATTTATTTCTAACTTGCTCTTGTGGAAGCTAAAGCTAGTACAACCCGATTTCAACAATTCTTATGGGGAATGGTCTGCCAAATCTGACTCCTTGTTACTTTGCTATATGAAGTTAGAGGCCAGCCCTTCAAGAAACTGAAGACCAATAAAACATTTCTTTACAGATTAAACAATTTCAAAAACAAAACAAAACAAAACAAAACACATCAACTGTTTTTCACAGAATTATTTCAAACCCTCACCACCCTGACTGCCTTCCCTGAATAAACTCAAGTTTGTTAATGTCCTCCTTATGAGACAATATATAAAATAGAATATAGTTCTTCAGATATCATATAACTACAGTAGAGGACACTGAAATTTTATCTTCATTGATGCAAACTCAAGACTTCAATCAACTCAATCTAATATAAGACTAATTCTGACTTTTTTTTTTTTCAACGTTTTATTTTTATTTTTGGGACAGAGAGAGACAGAGCATGAACGGGGGAGGGGCAGAGAGAGAGGGAGACACAGAATCGGAAACAGGCTCCAGGCTCCGAGCCATCAGCCCAGAGCCTGATGCGGGGCTCGAACTCCCGGACCGTGAGATCGTGACCTGGCTGAAGTCGGACGCTTAACCGACTGCGCCACCCAGGCGCCCCTCTTTTTTTTTTAAGCAGCCACATCTGTTTGCAAACATTAAAAGTAATAGGTCTTTTTGCCAAAAATTTTAGTTAAGACAGGACTCTCCCATCCTTACTTACTCTGGGGAATCCATCCATTCATAAGTTTTTAGCTATGTCTTTCATTTTTTAAAATTGTTTTAATGTTTATTTATTTTTGAGAGAGAGACAGAGAGAGACAGAGCGTGAGTTGGGGAGGGGCAGAGACAGAGGAAGACACAGAATACAAAGCAGGCTCCAGGCTCTGAGCAGGCTCTCAGCACAGAGCCCAACATGGGGCTCGAACTCCCAGACTGTGAGATCATGGCTTGAGCTGAATTCGGATGCTTAACCGACTGAGCCACCCAAGGGCACCTGAGCTAGGTCTTTTATGATAACCATCAGAAATTATTCTCTAATTCTGATTTATTCGTACCACATGTTTGGGACTAAAGAAAGGTAGCAATCATATCCTAACTTTTTTTTTTTTTTAATTTTTTTTTCAATGTTTATTTATTTTTGGGACAGAGAGAGACAGAGCATGAACGGGGGAGGGGCAGAGAGAGAGGGAGACACAGAATCGGAAACAGCCTCCAGGCTCCGAGCCATCAGCCCAGAGCCTGACGCGGGGCTCGAACTCACGGACCGCGAGATCGTGACCTGGCTGAAGTCGGACGCTTAACCGACTGCGCCACCCAGGCGCCCCTATCCTAACTTTTTAATTGTCTAATATTTAGTCCAGTCTATTATATATAGTGAGTTTGTGAAATAGAACTCAGTTTCAAATTTTGATTCTTAGCAATATTAGTTATCAAAAATTTCTCATTTGTCTCTTAAAAATGTGTCTGTAAAATACTTATCTATCCAGAATTATAACATATTACATACTAGTATTAAAATTTTCTCATCTCAGGACTTAATGGAAAACAAGATTTATTAAACTTAGTTTTATGTAGTGTGTCAACTATACTTCAATTAAAAAATAGATCTATGCACAATTTTTAAGGATTAAACCTGTCTATTATTGTTCTTCATGGGCTGAAATGGTTTTTTTCCCTAAGACTACCAAATGTCATTCCAAATACAACCTGGTCTTGCAATTTCAAGGGATTCTATTATTATATCTAGTTGCACTCTCTCAAACAAACTCAAAGACATTGACCATAGTTAAGACTCATAATTGAAACAAGGTTGAAAACTAAAAAATGTTTACATTCCATGACCAATTCAGTGTTAATACTATAAAGCTGATTTACTTTAATAAATATACTAACTTGAATATGGTATTTTGTGGCTTAAAATGTAGTAAAACACAACAATCTGGGTCTCCCTTTTTTGGGGGGGGTCCCTCTTTTATTGCATTCTTCAGGAGAGAGGTAAGCATCTCATCTACTAGTAGTTCTGCAGCTTTCTGAAGGGTTAAGGAAAAAACACAAACACTACCCCCACTTGCAACAGAGAAAGCAAAAGAGCAAAGTTCTAAACACAATAAGGAAAGCAGTACCTAGAGATCTATTGATAAAGAGCCACACATACTAGACTCTCAAAGAATTGGAGCCTTCAAGAGAAAGAATCCAAAAATATCTGAGCTGAATACTTTGTCATAATGACAAAAACTACCTAATACACAAGGAACTTCTTCTCCAAAAGGAGAAGCCACAACCATAGTTCTCAAAACATGTTTCTATAAAACAGTGAAAGACTCCAAGATGACCTGAGGTTAAAAAAAGAGCTGCTTAAGATGAAAAACAGCAGAATGTTCCCAATTCACAGAAAAATATGTAAGTTCATTCCCTGAATTTTGCTGGAATCCTTGGTGCCCACTACTATATATCTGCTGGCAGACAAGAAAGAGATGAAAGAGCAATACTATAAAGGGCACTAGGACTTCCAGGTGTCCTGCTAATTGAACAACTTGGTAAATCACTGGCCTAGAGAGTTTATAAGTGAAATCTCATTACAGAAAAGATTCAACTTCTAGAAGTACATAATTTAAGTTTTGGCCAGAGTGGGTTATTCAATGAATTCAATGATAGGAATAACTTTTCTTATCAGAAAGGTAAAGATGCTTTTTAAAAAAAATTTAAACAAAGAAAAATTTAAACAAAAATGTCTAGTAAGATAGATCATGAAGTCTACAACATATTACTAAGAAAAAAAAAGATAACCTTGTAGTAAGTATTTTCCTTAAAGTTAAAAGGATATATATCAAATTTTAAATGAGTAAAGGTGAAGAATTAGGGGGAAGATTTAAAGTATCCTTTCACTTTTTCATTTTCACTGCACTCAATTAATTATTCATAGTGATCAAAGTATTATCAGATACAAATAAAGAGATTTCTATTTTGAAACTAATTAGTTATATAACATAAGGCATCCACTTTTATGAAAGTAAAAAAAAATGTATTAAATCCTTCCCTGCTGTAACAAAAGCTTTTACTTTACTGAAGTAATATTTAATTTTAAAAATACATACTTGTTTAGTATCAGCATCAATAAGATCAAAGAATGCTCGAATTGTAGTCAATTGCAATTGCTTACACCTAAAGAATAAAGTTACAAATGAAATGTTCTTTAAAAGTATACTTTTGATACAAACATGCACAATTCTATTATTTAATGAAATATCTGGGTTTCCTTTACTGCTCTAAACTCTAAAAGTATTTAACAAATCATTATTATTAAGTATATATCTTAAAGTTGAAACATAAAAATAGAGCAAATTAAATCTTCCTGGATGTTTGACAGTGGAACTATCAGGGTCCTTCTGTTTTCCCTGAGTCTCCTTGTCTACCCCAGCTATAGACAATATCTGCCCCATCTTTCTATGCCTAAACTGTTGTGCTTCTTTCAGACACCATAGACTACACAGCCAGAGGAAAGTGAAAAAAGAATCTTTAAGCCAAATCATATAGAGAGAAGATAACTAGGGTCTACATATTTCTTACTTGTAATCTATTTATATAAAGGATAAATCTAACTGCTACTTGGCTTTCCATGTACTATTCTAGAATAGTCAATGCTACATTAATCAAGTTCCTGAGTTTGGTGACTGGACAAGAGCTCAGTGGTCTTATCGCAAATACCTTTAATTTTGCTAAACTATGACAAACTCGAAAATTTTGATATTTGAGTCTAGCTTGAGACTGATGCTATTGGTTCTTCAAGAAATGATTTTACAGGCTGCCAAAGGAACCTTGGTCATACTGAGACAAAAACCAAGGTTAGAGTTCTAGGTACTTTAGTCAATCTTTCTCCCATATCATTATTTGTGGATAAAGTTCCAATCAATGCACTGATGAGAAAAAAGGAGCACCACAAATCACCAAAATAAGTTATATTAACTTACCACACAATGGAGAGGTGGTCTGTTGAGACCCAGGTCTTAGGCACTGCTGAACTCTAAAAGGACAGGAAAAAAAAATCCAACTTAAGAAAAGCACATTTGTTATTCTCCAAAAGGTTTGAAATTCCCAGAAGCTAATATTTAGAAACACGTAACATTAGTTTCACTACTTTATGATGCATAGACATATTTAAATGATGCATTATTATAAAAGGTGATCCAAAAATATTAAGGTAGGCCCTGCATAAAATCATTGTCATTACTCCTTAGTTAAGCTTAAATTACCCTTTAAAAATTATTTAAGTATCCACAGATTCCTTACTCAAGTTTAATGTCTAACTCTATTACTCTATTAAGAGGCTGTTTATGATTCTTTAATAAATCACAATTATTTTAGTAATTGCAGTTCTGACTATCCTTTGATAAAGTCTAAGATGTTACTTTTTAATCAGATGTGTTTAAGAAATACCCAGACCTGGGGAGATTTTTCAAAATTAACATGCCTGACCACAATTCCAAAACTATTAAATCAGACTCTTACAAGTAGGGCCCAAGGTTACTTATTTTGAAAAAAATCCCTAGATTAGGATATGTATTACTAGTTAGAGATAGAATAGCAAAAGGCTCCTAAAAAATGTAACTATTTGAAGAAAACTTCCTGACAATGGCACAGTACCCCCTTCAAGAACTAGACTCCTTTTCATACCAGGTAATGACTTCCTTCCCTGTGAATAGCATCTTACATACAATGGGGAAACATTAAGTAAATCTGATTATTATTTTTCACAGTGTCTCTCTTTGCATTCAAGAAAGGGTTGTTTACTGTCGGCCTGGGTCTCTTAATGGGACTCCTTCAAAAACCATCCACCAACTTAAATACATATTTAGGGCAGTTACAGGAGTAAAACGTAAACTTGTATAGTGTTTAAGTGCTAGTTCTGTGTGAGTGTATATCACAGCATTTCAGCCTACTTTACTAATACAATCGAGGTCTCTAACTTAATTTTTCTAGTTCCAATGGATGTAAATGTCAATTAACTATTCTTGAGATAATCATTAAAAAATTACTTCTTAAGAATTGTTTTTTAAAGTAAACATACATGCAGATATATAAAAGACTATAAACTATTTAGGGGCTAAAATACTAAATAAAATTCTGACAATAACCAGCTTTGAGAAAATTCCATTTAGAGACAAAATATTTTCATCAGAGATACAGAATTACAAGCTCCTCAAACAACAAATTATCAATGCATCAGAAAAGAGGGACACGGACACACACACACACACACACACACACACACACACACTTAAAGAAACCAAAGTTCTTTAAAAGATAAGCTGGAGGAAAGGACACCAATAGAGCATCATGCCCCAACCAAGTCTAGGAAATAAGACATCCAATTATATATATATTTGTGTTTTACTAAAGAGTTGATATTTCACGTTTTGAGGACTTCAAGCAAATATCTGCCCAAAATATTCAACACCAAATTACAAGATTCATACTAATAATGAGGTCTGAGAGATTTTCCAATTTAGTTGTAAAGCTATTATATGGTTATATCACAACTCCTCCAGTAATAAGAAAATGGTGGGTAATTGCAGAATGGCTTAATAATTTTTGTTTTATGTGTGGCAAGTATTCAGTAATACTTGTTCAATAAATGAACAGTAACCTAAGGTGGGGCAATAGATGAACTGAGCAAGGGAGTTATGTATGAAGAGAACAACCATGAAACAAAGCACGATCTCTTAAAAAGCAAAAAGAACTCTATGCATTTTTTTTAGAAATTAAGTTATATGGGGCACCTAGGTGGCTCAGTCGATTAGGTGTCTGACTCTTGATTTTAGCTCAGATCATGAATTCAAGGTTCATGAGTTTGAGCCCTGCATTGGGCTCTACACTAACAGCACTGAGGCTACTTGGGATTCTCTCTCCCTCTCTCTGCCCCAACCCCGAGTGCACTCTCTCACTCTCTCAAAATAAATAAACTTAAAAAAATTATTTAAGAAAAGAAGTTATATTTGGAAATGATGTGTAGTATACACATGTATACATACTACATACAATATCTACACACTGTGTAGAGTTAAAAAGTTAAGATGATAACTGAAGACTTCAAGGTAAAAAATATAAGAAATAATATAAATCCTAATAGAAAACTTGAACTCACTTTACAGAGGCTATGTATCCCAGTTAAAGACGAAATACTTGATGTCCTAGCAGGGAGAATAATTAGCAAATTAATCAATCAGGGTTCTGTTATACTATCAAAGCTACTTTTTTAATTTTAAAATTGGTAAACCTTAGAGTGCCTGAGTGGCTCAGTCAGTTATGCATCTGACTTCAGCTCAGGTCATGATCTCACAGTTCATGGATTCAGGCCCTGCATAAGGCTCTGTGCTGACAGCTCAGAGCCTGGATCCTGTTTCAGATTCTGTGTTTCCCTCTCTCTCTGCCCCTCCCCTACTCACACTGTCTCTCTCTCTCAAAAATAAACGTTAAAAAAAATAATAAAAATAATAAAATTGGTAAACCTTTATTCAAGTTCAACACTCATAAGTATGTGATATGCTTGATATTCGACTTCCATTATAAATAGCACACCACTCAGATGTAACAAGGGGCCCTTGGACTTCAGTCCATAAATTCTTATGGTTAAAACTCATCAATGAGTAGATACTTATTTTGAACAAGAAACAATTATTCTTACGAGTCACCTTCATAAATAAGTCATTTTCACAAGCTTTCTAAGATCCTTTTCACTTTCTGTGGACATAAACACTATGCCTCTGCCTTCCCAACATATTCATTTTTTCATATTCTGTCTCTCACACACAAACGTGCACACACACACACCCACACACACATAGCACTACACCAACTCAGTAGTCATTTTCAAGCAAGTACATATTTTTCCTTTCATACCCCATTGTATCCATCCTGTTACTATTTCAGTAGAATCTTAAAAAAAGATTACCACAACAGATAAGGCACTGGTATGATGGCTTAATTTTGGAAGAAAAGTCAGTCCTGAACGAACTTGGTAATCCCGGAATCCTCCAGCTACAGAAAGCGTGGTTAAATTTATGTGTCTAGCATTTAGAATCCAATAGTTGTTTACAGTCATATAAAAATCTGGTAGGAAATAAAGACACATATTAAAAATTAGTAGTCATTCCCTGCAACAATAAAGTATCTATGATACTAATACTAAACTGAATTTCTGTTTAAGCCATACTGAATTGCCTACAAACAATGTTATTCACATTTCTCATTTTTGAGTAGTCAGTATCTTTATACATGATCTATTTTCCTATTAAATCAGAGTACAAATACTAAGAGTTACTAAAGGTCTCAATAAAGAAAAAAGATATTCAAACTTCATTAGTTTTGTCAAGTCCATACACAAACAGGTCTCTACATCCCACAAAGATGCTGCTAGACCATAAGCCACACAGTGTAATAAGGAGAAACCCCTAAAATTCTACCAAAGATAAAGTTCGCTATGCTAAAAAAATTGTAGATCTTCCTAATCATGGCAGTATGAGAGCTTAGCAGCTCTCTACTGTGGCCAGTTACCACTATACAAATTACTATTTAAGTGATTAAAATACAATCAGGACAACAACAATCATTTTAGTCTTGAGACTCGATGCTGCTATGGAAAACTCTAAGGGTTAAGAAGGTTCTACTCAAGGTACTCCTGGGTGGCTCAGTTGGTTGAGTGTGTGACTCTTAATTTTGGCTCAGGTCATGATCTCACAGTTTGTGAGACTGAGGCTCACATCGGGGTCCGTGCTGACAAGGTGGAGCCTGCTTGGGATTCTCTCTCCCTCTCTCTCTCTCTCTGCCCCTCCCCTACTCCCTACTTGTGTGTAACAAGTAGCTCAAAGGGAAGAATCTGCAATTTTTCCACTTTATCTATGGAAGATGAAAATAATACAGCGTCAAAAATTTGAGGCCAGGGCAGGGGAGTTCTCCTTTCCTTTCTGATTATCAGAACTTAATGTGTTTTTACCCTGGCATTTGATCCTATTGAGGGCTTCAAACATTTTGGAACAGCAAACTTCTCCCATTAAAGATCTCAGCAATATTTAATTAGAATATGACTAAGCAGACCCATTCCTAACATCTACAGGTCCTAGGACAAGAGGACCAAGGAACACATGTTATATGTGTATATATGTCTAAATATTTAACAGTAAAAATTCCAGCTAACAAACTGTTAAATCAATTATCTCTGCCTATCTTGACAAACATACATCTTCCAAATAACCTGGAAGACCAAGTTCAAATAACAAGTTCTAGGACATCTTAGAGATGGACACTAGATGATGACAGCATAGGAAGAGCAGATCTCTAACCCATCACTGTACTATCCTCTCTTCCCATCTCAATTTCATCCTGCATTACAAGGATGAAGGATACCCAAGCTCTATTTGTACCTCATGCAGAGCCATGCCTTAGCCACAACTCAAGTTTATATACCTGCCCTCAGAACAGATCCAGGTAAGAGGCTCACACAGGCCATGGAAAAGCCTGGAGGCGGGGTTACCTGGATCATGGTCCAAAAGTAAAGGCACAGCTGCAAATAGGGAAGCTGCTTGGCCTATATACTCCTTGCCTAGTGGTAAATGGCAGTGCCAGGGCAGGGACCCCTAAAGTGCAGAGCCCAGTGCACAGCTTCCATTCCCCTACTGAAGGGCAGTATTTCCATCAAGTATAAACAGGGAATGCACTTCTGGAGGTCATATGGGTCTCCTAAAAACCTCCTAAAAAATCCGCCACCCCTAGAACTTTTGTTTTTTCATTCTAATTTTGACTTAATGAAATGTGAAATAAATACAGAATAAATAAGAAAGAGGGTTGCTAATTACTGGAAAGGCACCTAACATTAAGAATTACTTTC